GGGGGGGGGGGCTGCCAAGCTAAATTAGCAAACTGCTGCTCTTGGCAACAACAAAAAGGTAAAAAAGCAGAAAGGACAGTTCCATAATTAAAAAGGAAATGCTTTCCACTGAGTACCTGCATGTTGCATTTTAAAAAGTCCTTCGTGAATTGCTTTTTTCCCCCGCACATCACTGCCTTTCTGAGGATGTCCTTCTGTAACACGGTGAGAATAAGGCTGCACATATCATGGCAGGAAAGCATTCATACAGGAAACCTGCCTGCGTGTATGAGAGGGGCTGAAACACATGTAGTCGTGTCAGGCTTCTACGGCATCCATCACATTTGTCTCATTTCCTACAGTCTTTTAATTGCTAAGGCCTTGATGGCATAGGCAATATGCAGGTCGCAGAATCTGAAAGGATAATAGAACAGCTATGTAGTATTTACTGTGGGGTTTTGTTTACCACTAGCAGGAAGAAGCCATACCTTTGCCTGACTATGCTAAAAATCAGTCACACCTATACTACTATGATAGTAGAAAAACCATCTCCAGATTTAGTCTTCCGCATCTCGGTCTACTTTCAATATATTAGACCTTGAGATGGTTTTAAGCCATTCAACATCTGTGCCATCAAGAAATTTAAGCAAGTAACCATGTGAGTACATTGACTCACAATTACATAATTTTAATTCATATTTTATTAACGGTTGTCTAAATCACCCGACCACAATGATGATGATCACAGTATACCTTAAAGGTCTCAATTGATTTTCATAAAGTAGAATATTTTACTTGAAAATATTGATTACAACCAAGCAGGTTTTGCATTAAAAAATAAAATTAGTGCCATGTGTACTAGATCGATTTTAGTCGAGGGATTCAATAACCATTAGGTCAAAATGCTATGTATCTAAGGAAGGCTTTGCCGCCACCGTGTGGTCATCTTGAGTATCTATAATTAAGAGGAACTACTTAGTTTACCAAAGACAAACAAGATGATAACAAGGGAACCACATCAAACAGATACATTTTCAACCTCCACTTATGTATAAACCAGGGATGGGGAACCTGTTCCATGGAGGGCCGGTGTGGGTGCAGGTTTTTGGGATGATTATTTCAGGTTCCCCACCCCTGGTATAAACTAAAAGTAATAAAGAATAGACACTGTCTACGATTATGGAACTTTTTTCCGGTGATGAAGCCATCAGCCAAGTAAGGGAAGAAGGGCAGGCAGACACTTCCTTCTCTGCACTGACATCTTCATTAAAAGCGGCCATTGCCCTTATTGCCATTTAAAAACATCCATACATTTTACACTTCCTCTCTCAGTCACAATCCTTTAAACAGTGGCACAGTTTTAAAAAAAGCAGCAGTGACTCACTTATAGTTTGTATCTTGGCTTGGAACATGTAGATGGCACTGTCTAGGTCAGTGTTTCCCAACCCAGTCCTCGGGGAACCCCAGACAGTCCACGTTTTTGCTTCCTATCAGCTCCCTGCGCATCAGGTATTCGGTGTTCCTGATTTGCTGGAAGCTGGGAGGGAGCAAAAACGTGGACTGTCCGGGGTTCCCTGAGGACTGGGTTGGGAAACACTGATCTAGGTAGAGGGACATGTAGCTGCTGAAGTTGCAGTTTATCTTCTCATACAGCTGCTCATGGTTCCCTGCTCTCCTGGAGAACACCTCAAAACGAGTCACATAGTTCAGGGGAGAGAATATTGCCAAGGGACCCTGACAACTCCCCAGGAGCACAAATTGAGGCTAGAGAATTTTGGATTTTCTTCAAGTTGTATGTAGTAACATTGCTTACAGTAAGAAATGACAGCTTACACATATCTAATGCATGGTGGTATTAAAGGAGTAATGCTTTCAACCAAATCTTTCCCATACTATGAAATTTGTATCTACAGCAAATTCAAATTGATCTCAGTGACATCTACATGGACAAAAACAAGAGCATTATGGAATGGAAAACAGCAGGGTATGAAATAAATTCCTTTTGAGTAAAACAAAAGATCTTTATTTGCAAGTGAGAAGCTTGCAAGTTACCCCCTTAGCCACGTCAGTAAAAACTCTGCTATGTAAAGCTGACAGCCAAGGATTCCCGGGCATAATGCATAACCTGAACCATGTAAATCATACACATGTAGCACTACAGCTAATACCTTCAGAACCAAAGGCAGTGCACAAAAGGCCAGCAAATGGACTTAACATTCGCTTCAGTGTTTCCTCTAGGTTTACAGCTTTGGAGGGGGGGGCTGGGGGCTGGCAGTGTTTCTTTTAATGACAGCAGTCAATATAACAACTGAACTATATCAACAGAACATTTCTTTTTATGACAATTATCCACAAAGTGTGCAGCTTTTGTCACTGCAGTGTATCTTTCTGGACTTCTGGAAGAACATTTCTAAAGCCTCTTGATATGGGAAGTCAGAAACGTCTGGCCCATTTATTGAGATCTGCATGCAGTCTGCTAGATGGTCTCCTTGCAGCTTATTGCAGTTTGTCTTGACCTGCAAATACATTAACTGTTAGGCTTTAAAAGTGATAGCTGATAGCTTAAAATAGTGATAGTTTAAAGCAGAAAATCCCATTGTGACATGTATTTATTACCCTGTTCATGGTTACCGAAAATGAAAACAAAAGCACCTTGTGTACCGAATAGCATTTCGCTAAGTCCAAGATGGAAGATGAGCAAGTTATTTTAGCCATCGGAACGCTGCAGCCTCCCTTCTTCCTATCTTTTCTTAATTCTCTGTGTATTATTACCAGAGTTGGGTAATTCAGGTCCAGAGAGTGTGCTCACCTGTGTGTGCATACACGTGTCTGTGCATGCACATCGGGGGGGGGGGGACTCCAGAGAGCAGAGGAGAATTGTAAATGCACGACCGGAGGCAGGAATGGAAGGATCGTGATCACTCTACAGCACATTCACATGTGACATCACCATGCCACTCACCCAGGAAAGGAATTTAGTTCGCAACAATGCATCCCTCGCAGCCTGACATACAGAGAACAGTTAAACTAAATTTATTTTAAAAAGTGACTAAAAAAAGCATAGAACAGAAATTTGCGCTGCAATGAACTTCGGATAAAAACTCCCTGTCTCTCCCTGGGGCAGCCAATGCGAAAGCAGGATATCCATTCATAGAAGGACAGTATGCAGTTAGTGTTCCTTTCGGTCAGATCACACAGTGTGTTAATGCACACGACTGAGGTAACTGTATGCATAAACAAAATACAAACCTCCGAGTCAGGAGTGGTAGGGCTCGGTCTCTCCGAACACAGTCATCATGTTCAGAGGCCGATTGGCGCATTTCCAAATACGGTGCGAGTTAAGTGAAAGGCAGACCCTCATTTCGAAACACATTCTCACCCAAAGAGATGGCAGCTGGCATACACTGCCAGTCTGGCTGGGCACCATCAACACTGGTTAGGGAGTTAGGTGATCGAGAGCTAAGCAGTTACAAGGGGAAAAGGCCTTGGGGAGATGAGGCTACAAAGCCCACGGTGGACAGGGCTACTCTGTCGTTAGTCACTGGCTGGTTCAGACCACATCCTGCTGGGCTAAACCAGACACTGATTAACAGTTCATCCCAATCCTACCCAGAATGTCTTTCAATGCCTCATTTTTCCACACCCAGCTGGGATTACTGAATATAGAGTATTCCAGAGGCTCATTAGGGTGTGTTTGGTCTTGCCTGAGGGGATGAGTGTAAGACTGACTCGCACCCCATAAATCAGACTCCAGGATTTTCTGCCATTTGCTCAATGCCACCACCTGACTGTTTAAATTGAAGCTATTATGGTACCAAACCCCACATCTGAGGTCTCAGATGTTCGTGTCTGAGTAACAAAACCTGTGTGATGCTTATTTGCACATTGCGGACACTGTGCAAATATATGCAAAATGAATTTCAAAAATGATAACATCATATTCTTAATTAACTACATCCCATGTTCTCCAATACAAAATATGGTTGCATATCCTTAGCGATAAATACCCCCATAGCCATAATAATTTTTTAGCCTGGCCTGAATTTCCTGGCAAAAAGTGCCTTATGTGCTACATGGAGACTAAGTTGCAGAGGCAGTTTCTGACCAAAGGGCTGGACCATTGTGGGAGCTGCAGAACATGGTTTCCTGGCTCCAGAACAGCAGGGGCCTGGGTGGCAGACTCCACAAGGACCATATGAAAGGGCAGCACTGGGGCTCCCCATCACCTAAAAGTGGCTTTTAGTATCCCAGGTCCTGTGCACCTCAACGTAGGCGACCAGGTAGGGCCTCCCGAGGTCAGCACCACCACTGAAGCCAGCTGCAAGCTGTATGCTGCCGCAGCAATGTTCAAACCAGGAGACAGGGGTGTGACTGGCTGCAGGTGACAAGCCCCAGCCATGCCAGTGAACCGCCAAGACCCCAAAAACAACTTGCTGTCTCTCCTAAGAAGCAGTGAGCTGAGCTCTGTCCTTGTGGAAAGGAGGAACAATCTGTTGGAACCTGAGATATAAATGGGTTCAGTGATTCAATTCAATTACAAAGAAGGTATTAAAAATCACATTGATATAAATCAAAGTCTGCGTCTAATACTCTTAACAACAGAAATCAGAGCAATATTCCAAAATTTGCATTAATCCTCAATTCAATTATTGCAGTTGTCGGTCTACAAATAGCACTACAAAACTGCCACTGGGCTCCAAGCTGATCTTTAAATCCATCACACAATGAGTTGCTTAGTAACACAATCCAGAGAAATCCAGTCAAACCTAGTAGTATCAGGAGACGCTGGCGGGTGCCCTCCCAGAGCAGGCAGTGGGCAGCTCAGCACTTCCTGGATTCCACACATGCTTGGCAGCGGGCCAGGCGCTTCTGCACACAACCAGCAGAGGGTATCATGGACAAGGAAGATGATGCCATTCCCTCAGACTGCTGCTTAAGCCAATGGGAAGAAGACCTCTTTAGGGGGACAGCAGGGCATCAAGGTCTATCTGCACTTAAGTGTTGCTATGGAAGGACTCATCAGTGCAAAATACACCAAAAACGGTGAGGAGCACAGCACAGTAGGGGAAGCAGGCATGGGGCTGCTAGTCACCAGCTGGAGGGGCAACTCTCCTGTGCCATGAGGTTTTGGGAACAACGGTATGTAGAAATTATGCCAATCAGAAAGAACAAAGTGGATGTCAAAGACAATGAACTCCTTGCTGATGTGCAAGTGTCTTCTCGGGCCAAAAAAGAGGGTATCACTTTCACAATGGTATGCATATCAAGACATTTTGGAGAATTGTATGGTTCCAACTTTGTGGGAAAAGTTTAGGTATTGCCCTTTTCGATTCCAACATAACCGTACCACGGTGCACAAAGTGAGGTCCTTAAAGTCACGGTTGGGCGAGCATGGTGTGGAAGGCGACTGGCCTGCACAAAGCCCTGACCTCAACCCCACCAAACACCTCTGGGATGAACTACGAAGGAGTCTGTGAACCAGGCCTTCATATCCAACATCAGTGCCTGCTTTTTTGGATAAATGGGCAAAAAAATCCCACAGACATACTACAAAATCTTATGGAAAGCCTTCTCAGAACAGTAGTATCTGTTATAGCTGCAAAGAGGGTACCAACTTCATATACATTTCATACAAACTCTTGCTTCACAATATGACATTACCGGCAAAGCTCACCTATGAATCCATTCCTGTCGAGTCATTGTAAAGAAAATAAAATCAAGCACATGTTGACCAACAATGATGAATTATTCATATATATTGCTTTTTTAGGATATGGAAACACAGAAAGCACCCGCCCATTGTAAGCGAAATACATACATAACATATATATATATATTATATTTTATATTATTTAATATTTTATATTTGATATTTTACTGATCAACATTTCAGTCTGCTGCCTGAATGATCCCCAGTGGGCTGGCAGGTGTTAGAAACTCCAATGAGCCCAAAAAGGTGGGAACATTATTCCCTGAAATAATAGCATAGCAAGAAATACAAAATGTAAACTATTACCATACATTGCTCTGCTAAAATTAGCTGATGGCAATAAAACATCATTGTAAAAAGAAACGATACTTTAAACTATGATGTACATTAGAAAATACTGCTTCTGAATAGTTTCATAACACTGTTCCACATTTTAACATCTTCATATCTTGTTTTTGCATGTACTCACCAAACCCAAGGGTTTAATTCTGTAAAAACCATGGCATTTCAGAAGAGCCTTCTATAAACTTAGAGGAGCTCTAGTGACGACGTTGCGCTGTCAGTCCTCACCATTTTAAATTTGCGTTTACTGCCACCAAGTGGCAGGAAAGGAGAATTTGCTTTGTAGCGCAAAACTCCAGGAAGGTGGCAAATTCCTCGCATAATTAAAAATAAATGCGCATAAACTTAAGATGCAATGACAAATTAAGCTTGCCCTGTACAAAATGCGACTATATGCACTGTAAACTGGACTGAGAACGGTAATGCAATTGACGGCATGTAGTTATTCCTTTCGATTAAGTTTGGTTTAAAAAAGTTTTAAATCCTCCAATACTCTCATTGTTTACAAGACACTCCTCAGGATATTCATCACCTATGAAAGTCTGGTCCTTCTTACTCCAGAAAAATCTTTAGATCTCTTTCGAAACACATACTTATAAATCAAACTTTTATTAGCCTGTCATGCAGTACTCTTTTCAGATTGAATATTAAAAACAATAAAACTTCCAAGAATTTTTCAAATTATGACAATTAGTCTAATAAGCATAACTTGTGTGAGAATGTCTCCGATTTAGATCTCCTACCCAGATGTTGCGTTCTACAACGCGTCAATTTTCATATTAATTATCGGATCAGTTATTTTGTGGCGCTTTAAACAGGCCTTGAATACCGGTAGTTCAGTTTTAGTGGTCAGTTTAGCCAGTTAATTCAATGTCATTGCTGGACGGAGCAACCTCGCTAACTATAACTAAATGCTTTTTCAGACAGACAGTTTTTATTTCATACGGGTTAATATTTAATTACATATGGGGAATAAAATTACATACTTATACACACTAGACTGGAACATTTGGCCATTACTGACTTGGTCGACACTTTTACACGGCTGAACTAAACAACTCTACTTAGCGAATTAAACAGCTAGCGAATTAATACACATTAGAAAACAATCCTCACGAAACAAAATCACCTACAAATCACAAAGCTAAGCGGTTCATGAGTAAAACGAAAGCGCAAGAGACTTCTGAAATTTGCATGGTGTTTTAATGCTTAAAGAGAAAACATTAGGATTAATTTACCATTTTAAGGTAATTAGCAGACCTAAAGATCCTGGGAACATCAACGACAGTAACGCTTCCCGCCTTTTCTGAAATCCTGTCAGACGATTAATATTAATTGACGGTTAATCAATCATCCAATCAAATTTCGGATAGCGTCGCGAAACCTGGCGGGTGATTCCTCACAGCAGCGTTTAAAAACATCCTTACCTTCCACTAAAAGTTAACCCAAAGCTTAACAGTTGTGTTTTTGTGGTTTAAACAGTTTTGTAATATGCTGTTCTTTAGACATCCAACAAGATTTTATTGCACAATGTTAACTGGAATGACAACGCAAAATGCTCTCCTATTTCTATGTAGCCACAAAATACGGAGTGTGCCAACAATTACTTTTCTCTCCGACCGTTTTCTTATAAAGAAAGCAGCAGAGGCTCGCGGTTACATATAAATATGTATAATATTACTATTGACCAACTGTTCTCGAACAATGTTAAACGTCTTAATTTAAAAAGTGCTTGTGCAACTACGGCTAGTGACTAATTTTGACCTATATTGCGTGCACACGCAGGAACCGGCAGAGGCGGGCATGCACGCAGAGTCCCGGCCGGAGTCTCCGCGCTGGGGGGCGTCAGAGGAAAGGACCACATCTCTCCCCGGCCCTGCGCTTTAGGGGCGTGTCCGATTGGTATAGCCGGCCAGCTACGCACGGAGCCGCAGCGGATCGGGACTCCTGGGGGGAAGAGGCAGAGGTAGTCATGTCGGGGAGCGGGAGTATGTGCCCAACGGAGGCGCAGAATGGGGGGTCCTGCGGCGCCGCCAGGGATCCACGTGTTATCGGCCGGGCCGTCGGCAACAAAGTCACTGTGGTGCTCGGAGCTCAGTGGGGTGACGAGGGCAAGGGGAAAGTCGTGGACCTGCTGGCCCAGGACGCCGATATCGTTTGCCGATGTCAGGTAAGCAGAGGGTAGCAGCACGCCGGCATCTCGCTCGCCGGCTAGCCCAGCGTAAGCTAAGCAGCGCGCCGCGGCGATGCGTGACGCCTTGCGAGGTATTAAACCGGTACTGGGGCTGGCGGACAGCGTCCGGAACAAGTGTCTGGCTAGCCAGCTGGGGAAGTCGGCGGGTCTGACCTGGATCCAATGACACGGCGTGCAGTAGACAGATCCGATTAATCGGGACAATCGCGCGACTGGAAAGCAGCAGGGTGGGGTGCCGGAGGTGTTTCAGTGGGGAGCTAGCCTGCCCCGCGTCCCGCTACTCGGCTAGCTAACAGTTTAGCTAGCTGGCTGGGTAAAATCCAAGATGTCACTTTGGAGCAGCGAAATGCACGGCGAGCCGGCGGTAAATTGTTAATGTCACCTTGAGCTCCACCGCGGTGCTTTTCGCTGCTCCCTCCGTGTGATCGTGAGCTTTTTATTTAATGCTGCGGCATGGTGACTCTGACACTGGAGAATAGGTGCTTTTTATTTGTCACAGCAAAACTCATTTTGTGGAATTCTCCCTGGTCTTGTATCACAGCTGGATGCGTTAAAACGGGGACGTTCCGTGCTGTTCGAGCCGTGAATGACACGGCCAGTTGCAATTCCCACGACCAAATAAAAAAAAATTATAACAAGGGTGCTTTCCGGGGCAGGATAGGCATGCAAAGTCGTGTTTATATATGCTAATTGTCTTATTACTAATAATATAAGTATAGCTATACGTTTAGTGTTTTATAAATAACACTCATTCATAAACGATATACTATCTAAAGCCGTAACGTTTTCATTAAGTGATTCCCCGTTTTCCGTAACGGAGAATCACTTGTCTTCAAGTTTTCAATGCAGTTTTGACTTCGATTTATAAAATCTTATCAGAAACATGTTCTTAAATCAGATTAAAAGGGTAGAATTTTTTTTTTTTCCTGCTCCTGCTTGGAGATGTATGTATGTTTGTCCAGTTTTATTCCTGTTTAGTCCTGCTGTGGGTGACCTTGTATGGGGGCTAAACTTTTTCCTCTTTCCACACAACCAGCTCTGAAGTAATTCCCACCCCCTGGGGACTAGTAAAGTATACCTACCTGACTAATTACTACTGAACTTGGGAGTCTGTTTGCTTCTGCCTAGTGAAGACATCATGAATTGTCATCTTTTAGGGAAACGCTAGCAGCATTCAGGGCTAGTGTCACACCAGTAGTGACGAATTGAGCCAAACGTACACAAGGAATTAGATAAGACCCTGTTACACTTAAGATTTTTTTTTCCCCTCCTGTAGAACACTCGATTGTGATTTTTGTAATGACAGCTTGTAAAATAACACCTCCAGGCCCTACAGCTAACAGCTGAGTGGTGTTGTCAGATTCTGGTGAGATATGTAGGGAAGGGCTTTCTTTTCTTCTACTTAGACACAGTTGCCTGTTGCAAGGAATCGAAACTTAAGTGTAGAACTCGCAAGACAGCCAAGGATGGTAGTCACCCTGGCCTCCATCTGCTGGCGCTGGGCCAGCAATGTGGTGGGTTTTTTTTGGCACTGACTCCCTCTCCATTTCATCACAGGTTTAAGGGCAGCAGAAGACTGAAGACGATGCATGTCGGTGCTGCGTGTTTTACAAAGGGCTGGGTTACTGTTTCCTAGCGATGCACCGACTGCATTTTCCATGGCCCGTCCCAGTCGTCGGTTTAGGTTTATCTATCTTAAACCAGACCTGCCCGTACAGATTCCGATTTTCTTCATTTAATATTAGTTAGCAGACTGAACATTTTTTTAAACTCTTCTGTAATTAGCTGAGCTTTTTGCAAGCAGAATATTTTTAGATATCTTCTTCCAGTAAAAATTGCCTCCAAGTGTTGATTTAAATAGGTTCGAAATATTTTTGGGGTACTCTGCATACAAGTTTTTGTTCACATATTGTACGCATTGCAAATTTAACATCTTTGTCCTGCACTGTGAAGAATCTCCAGACCATGCCCCTCCCCAATGTCACCCATTCAGGACACTGTCTCATTTCATTTCTTTTTAAAATAAAGGCATTCATCCTAAAACGAATAGGCCAGTCTCTCCCCGGGTGTCGGCTACTGGTCATCTGCTCATCCAATACTTCACTACCCCTATCAGTTGTTTACCTTTGACTAAGGCTGAGTGGTATATAGAATTTTCATGGTATATCGATATATTTTTAAAACGAGGTATAGGGTAACAATATCCTTTATATCGATATACTTTTATTGTGTGCTAAAATTAGGGCTCTATTAAAGGTTTTTAATAGAAACCAATAATATTCCTTCCTGGTTGTAAACAGTGTGAGATCTTCGGTCGTGACGTTGCAGAACATCCCAGAATCCGGAGATAAAATCGAACCAACATCTCACAGGGAGGCTGAAGCAGAAAAAAAGCAAAGAATCTTTACTTGTTTCATTTCTTTTTAAAACATTGACTGATGCTCACCGGTTAAAAATATAACTTCCAATATTTGGTTGATTTTGTTGGAGTCAACTTAAAATGAGGGTCTTTCCCGATATTAAGCACACTTTCAGTGGTTGTCAGATTTCTGTTTTTAGAGCCATTTGCAAAATAGGATTTAGATTTAAGTTTTGGATTCTTTGTTCGTAAACATTCACCTTCTGTTTGAAGAGCAATGTCATAAACATAAAAAATTGCAGCTGGCCGACATAGTGGAGTGAAAGCCAACACAGATATAGGCGTAATGTATTTTTGGCCACCCATGAAAACTTTTGGCCCTTCCGTCATATTTGTTCTGGTTGCGGTTTACGTTGTGACCCTGTGAACTCGTGACAAAGCCGTTCACGTGCCAGTACCAATCCTCGCAGATGTGTGCTGATGGCAGATTCCTCAATTTTGGAAAAGTGAAAAAATTGTAGATATTTGGAATTGTCCTTGCACAAACTTTAGGTTACTTAAAATATATATTTGACGAGCAATCTTTTTTTCATAAGGTATGAATTCACAGGCAGCTACCTCACCTTTACAGCTGCATGCATGTATGTCATATTTTACAAACGGGCTGGACAAGTTCTTTTCTTCATTACTGTAAATGGCTCTCCAAGCTTGATGAAATCTACTTCCGTCTTCTGCAGATGCATGCTACGTGACATGCCACCAGTCAACAGGAACACCACTTAACCATAACACAGGCAATGCAGCGCTGCGATGTTATGCATGCTGAAGCAACATTTCACTTTTTCTTGTGGTACTGTTGCAACCTCTGAACATCCTGGCGTCACGTGATAGGCACTTGCCGGCTTGTTCTGTTTGTTAATAGTGTTAAGCATTGCGTTTGTACCTGGGCATTCATAGAAAGCTCAGCTTAGTGCACCTATGTCTGAAAAACTCCTTTGCTGCATATCTGTTTGCAATGTGCCATTTGCCTGACTTGTACGTCGCTTTGGACAAAAGCGACTGCAAAATAAAAGTAAATGTATTGCTGTGTCGTGATTGTATTGTGGGTATGATTGCAACCGGGTACAATAAAATAACGCCCAACACTGGTTGGGACAAAAAGTAACGTTAGTTGGTGTACTGCTTGATTGGCTCATAAAATTGGCCATATTTAGACTGATTGGCCAACTGCCAGTCAGCATCGATCAGGGTAAAAATCAGCCATTTCCGGTCACTTTTCAATTGATTGGTGCTTCCATACTATTTATAGACCAGTGCCCTAAATAAGGAGCATTATAACAACTTATTACCAGTCTCATTCATGAAGTGTTTCAAGCTGTCAAATGATATAATTTGTCCATTAGCTAGTAACTACTTATATTAGAGCACCAACATTTTGTAGATAATACAGATATGTTCTCTTGTCGGTAACTTGTCGGATTTAAGGTAGTCTGGGCAAAATGTAAGTGAACGAATATGAAGTCCATTTAAACTGTGGTACTTTAAATCCGACAAGTTACCCTGATAAGCCAGTAACCCCGCTTCGTAGTACAGGCCACAGGTCTGTGAGTCTGGGGTTTGTTGTCCTGGTGCAGTTACCTTCCTCCCACATCTATGTATAAGCTCTGTGATGGACCATCCAAGGTGCAGCCCAGCCTCGTACCCTATGGTGCTCGGGGGAGGCTGTAGGCCCCACTGCAACCCTGGCCTGGATGAGTGGCTTGAAGTTGGATGGATATTACAAAATGAAAACTTATTGTATATTAAAGGATGTGAATTATATATTTCCAATTCCTCTAATCTGTAGGAGAAAATTGGGAGGAGGCAGGACAGGGTGTCAGCGGTATCAATATTAATGGCATTCCCCTTCTGCCTGTAGGGGCACACGCCTGTCAGGCTTTGCAGGTGAATTGGGGTAATGGCCTTGATTCAACTTTGTGTGGTTCGGTGTACATTTATAGCTATGATTTTGTGTGTAAACTTATTCAAGTGGTGCAGAAAGGGATAAATTACCCTGTAGCCCTTAGCGTGTCCCAGGCGGTCTGGCATTGTACTCATATTTGCATATTTTGAGTACAACAGTAGGACTAAATATGATCCGATGAGACGAGATTCTCCTCGTGGTGCCAGACTGTTTGTTCATGAGAACATCCCCTAATCCTCTACCTGTCACTTTGCCAAGTTGAGTTTTCCAGAGCAATGGCTTTGGTCTCATCTTCCACGAGTATGTTGAGTTCATGTTTCCCGTTTACACCTGATTTGTCCAAGTTTAATGAGAGGTTTTTGATCCTGTGCCACAAAGTTGCAGAGTCACTTGGGGCACAATCAAGTTGTTCTGGCTCCTGTACCAATGAAGTTTGGAACTTGAATCCTGTGGGCGTGTAAGGGAAGGCTGCTGCTCTAGTGTTACAACCATGCTTTTGCATATACAAAACATCTCCACATGAAGTACTATTTGATTACTGTCCCTCTGCTAACTTTTGGCCTTATAAATGGATCTGTTGGAGGGTTATTTACATGCCACTTCAGGATCGAGGCGCAGAAACAAATTTCGTGTCAGAGATGTGTTCTTCCACAC